TATCATTGTATTACTGTCGAGTTGGATTATATCTATAATGGCAGCATATATTTGTGTGTGTAAATAAATAAATATTGCCCTTAGCGAGTTCTTAAGTGGTACTATTAAAACTGCAAACGTAAATCGTAAGAGGCTTGGATCTTAGCAATGTTATTACTCGTAATTATGTAGTTTCAGCGAGCTCATCGAACTAATGAGAACGGGTTCCCCACAAGGCCCAACACGTTCCTAATCTAAAAAAACAATTCTGAAACATGTTGGACTTTGTCTGGAAATTTGGATGATTAAGTGTGGTAGGAATTTCGAAATTCCGACCAGCTGACGAGACACCGTCCTCAGATGGAAAAGCGGTGAACTTCAATCGCGTATCGATTTCAATCTGTGGATTTCCGAATATCAAGCCCAAATACAGGTCGACAGCGCGTCTCGTTGAGATGTTATGCGAACCTGGTGCTTGTCTTCTCTATTATAAAAAAGAAAAGCTTTTTAATAGATCTTCAACTGTAGGAACCTTGGACATGAATTTAATCAAATTCAATCTATTTGTCAATAATGATTTGGATAAAAACAATGTTTTCAGATAATCTAAAATATGTAGTGACATTTGTTTGGCTGTTTACTCTATTGGCGAAGCCTACTATGTTATTTGCCACCGGAGTAATGGCATGTGAAGGTTTCGTTTTTATAATTACATGTCAATAAAATGCGAAATATATGATTTAACATTCAAATAATATATTGGCTTTTAGGTAGTTCAATGTTGATGCAAATTCGACAACCTTTCGCGTCAATTAGGCGAAATATTCAAATGAAGTACGCTATCTAAAAACAATGTAACGTAGGCGATATATTATATTCGAAGTGAAGAAGTATTTTTTCTCTTTCATACGGAAGATTAAGCAACGGAGCCTTGACTCGCGAGTTCATAGTCCAATGGAAACGAGATTCGTGGCAGCCTACCGAGGCTTCTGCGCAGAGGAGTTACGAAAATAAGCGATACTTGCTCCTGTAAAATATTTTAATTTATTTTGATTCATAATTACCACAAGTATCATTAAAATATTTTTAACATAGATTTATTTAAACCAGGAAACAGGTACTAGGCAGCTTATCGCTTACAACTTTCAATGTTTTTGCAAGCAATATTTAACAAACGTTTTTTTTTACAAAAAGGTTAAAACTTATAAAGCCAAAACTCCTTTTTTATCTTATACTTATTTTAAAGCCTTGATGTCCTCTCACTTCTGAACAAAGAAACTATATATAATTATTTTGCGGCACTCGAACCAACTCTTATGCTAAACTAAAAGCGAACTCAAACGACTCGAAATCCTGATACAGTGCATTTGAAAATACGTAAGCACGAACGAGCTTACGCAGTCAAAACTGCTGACGTCAAGAAACTAGTTTTTTAATTTTGGCTTTATTCAAATCGTTTAGATACATATGTTTATTTGGGGTAAACCCGTCGATAGAGACGTCACCTGAAGTCACCATAAACCAAATGGCTCGTAATCTCTGATCGTTTACGCTTACAATGTACAATGGTAACCCATGGTGCTAAATACTAATTAATTGTGTTCCTCATTGGAAACACTATCCATTGGCAAGATAATGTTTCTATACGTAGGTGGAACTTGGATCTTGTAAAAGGCGCTCCGACTCGTGTCATAAATATTTCTTTTTCAATTTGAGTTTACGAGCCGCTCACATTTAGAACGAGGAACCCAACTTTTTCATCTCAACAGGTAGCTATAAAATTTATTAAATCTAATAGCGCTTTCTGTGTTCCGCAAACCTGTGAGAGCAAGAAATTTTATAGTTTCAAACTACGATGCGACCCGGGTTTGCTTGATATTTATGTTTGTATTTTCAGTAAAACTTACAATACAACCCATATTAGTATAGACTGATATCATGTGTGATCTTTGGTTCGCCCGCTTTCGGAATTCACCAAACGACTATAACAACGCTCAATTATTTTTAACAAAAGCTTGGGGCTGGATAAATGTAACGTAGTTCAAGTAAAGCAAAATAATTGTTTGCTGGTATTTTTCCGCTCAGAATAAAGCTGCTTAAAGTCAAAATAAAATAAGTCAACTTTAAGTAAAATATATATTTTACTTATAATTTTTGTTATTTTTATTATGTATTTGTATGGTTATGTCATACCCAAAAATATCATACAATATTACTAACAAACACACAGAGCTCAATCTCTTTTACGAAGAATTAGTCAAGAACTACGAATTAATTAACTGCAATCGCTGATAAGACTATTCATTATAATTAAATAGATTAGCAGATATAAATAGTTTTGTTAGTTAAAAAAAATACGCAATATTTAAATCAAATAAGTGGGAACAAAATTAATGAAATACCCCAGCTCTGTCTAGAAAAGTTTAGTTTTCTGTCAATGGATTTAACAAAGGGTTCTAAGGTTACAACGTAGAGATTTAAGCCATTTCAAATATAGCTTAAGCCGCCTAGGATTTATAAGATGCATGTTATGCTACACAGCGGAGCCGAAGCAATTATCTAGGACCATTAATTAGCGAATACATTCCAGGGTCATTGTTCTATGAAATCGTAACAGTCAAAGCATGAAGTATAATTCGATCGGAGCAGTAAATCACCGAACGAAGTCCGACCCGACAGGTCTTATAATTAATTGCCTTACGTCGTTTTTCAAATTGTGTCTAGGTAATAATCGAGCGGTATGGACGAGATTGTCCCTCTCTGGGAGCCAGTTAAGCACGAAGCAACTCATGAACGCAGCTATTTTTAACAACATAAAAAGACGATTTTTCATAGTATATCATTATGTCAACCATTTTGTTTCTTTAATGAAACCTAATTTCTTTCAAGTGCTGTAGAAGGAACTTTGAAGGATATTAAACGATTCAATTAACAAAACGTGAAACCGCTATCCGCTCTCATGCTAACTGCGAAAAGGTGAATGTCCTGTGTCCATTTCCAAGCGTAATTTTTGATTTGAGAATGTTAATATCGCGAACTTTATTTCATATTCAAAAGTACAATGTCTTACGGTCCCCGGTAGTGCTAAAAATAAGTAGTTGTTTTGTAGTAACAAAGAGACAGGAAGCCCTCTACTTTAAAACTTTTATTAATACGTATATCTGGTATTCGTGTTTTAGAATATTTGATGGCAAAATTGCCTTCTCTCCTCATAAACTTCGAGAAAATTACAAAATTGACGTGTTATCATTGATTAGTCATCAATTTATCGATTACTATTATTCATGGAATAATACAATTAAAACTAAATTAACGCGACGACCACAAAACTCAACCACAGATTGAGCAGAGTCAATTGTGTCACATTCCTTCCCGTTTTATATTTTATATAATTTTTAGATTCCACCTTCTTATTTCACTAACTTTTAACTGTCATCGATAAGAAAGACGGTCCCATTTACCCCGAATCCACTATCAGACGGATTTTACATAAACTTAATACAATTTTGTAGGGGTTGAAAGTGAAGGTATGGTTTTCAAACATTTAGTTCATTACTCTTGTCCAAAAGTATTTTATATTAAACTGTACGTTGTCTATAGTTTACGCGAGTAGTACACATTTAAATAAAACACTTTAACGATTTAAAACGCGATATATTAGTTAGTCTCCCCGTGACCACGGCTGCTGCAAAGCATCCGAAACGTCGGGCCGAAGTTAAAAATCATTTTCAAATAAGTTTAACTAATATATCGCGTTTTAAACCGTTAAAGTGTTTCATTTAAACTGTTTGTTGTTATTGATATTTTCATATCTGCACCCGTGGAAATTCTTTAGTAAGTTATCCGGAAGTCTGACGTATTTCCATGTAAACAGAGTCTTCGTACCATAAATGGTTGGAAATACCAAGTTGCTGTTTGCTTATTCTTTACCAGGGCTTATAATGGCATGGAATATTAAAAATTCGCACTTTGCGATAAAGATCGCTAATGCATTCAAGACTTTACATCAAAATATTTTATTATTTTTGGTCGATTAAGTATTTAGATTTTTTCTTAGTTGTTATTCGATTCTTAAGTTGAATTCCAAAATTGAAAGAATTAAAAATTGTAATCTTATTATTAATATGTGCTTATATTCCTATATTCGTTTAAAAAAATCTAAGAAAATAAAATTTCGTTTTACCAATTTTTGTCTCACAGCAGAATAGAAGTCTACCCCTTCATTTCAATTGCAATTGCAATTCTTCATCATGGCTTACGTCTTTTTGACTATACCTAAAAAACAGTCTTTTACAGCATTTTATAGATCTAAACGTAATATAATTATTTACTTGCCATAGAAAATTCCCTAAGGTTACAGCGTTATGCAGATCAGTAAAAAATTATTAGTTTGTTGTAAGCCACAAATGGACAACAATTGAGTGAGTAGAATATCTTTATAGCCAACAAATAAAACGAGAGAAAATAAAAATACGGTTTTAAAATTGTGTTCCTACGATGTGTAGTTTTTGAGTTTTTTTTTATTTAAAAAAAGTTTTTTGGCTTTGTGAACATTTCTTATTTTGCGGCTTACAACAAATACGTTTTCCTACGTCGATATGGAGTTGAGTATCAATAAATCGCCTAAAATGTTGCAACAAATTGAATATATCGACATTTCACTTTTATATCCGTCTAGGCTTTATATCTCTTGCAAGGAAATGCATAACAAATTCACATTTTGCGTATGATTGCGCGATTTTTAAATCTTATTTAATCTTTTGTAAGTCAGCTTACATACATAATCAAATTATTCAAAACAGTCATATGTTTTATAAGAAAAAGGTCGCTCTTGTCTCTACATCGTTATGTACCTATGTTTTTCTTGGCCGCGGAAGTTTAATTATAATGAAGCAAAAACTTATCGCATCGTCTTCTTTGAATCGTATAGGTATGTTAATTTCTTAAACTTAAAAAGCCAATCTTCTTCGTCATAGAGCTAAACGGTGTTCGAGTTAAAATTTGCTCCCCGGAGTCGAAAGATGCCAACAATTTATGTGTCGTGTAGCAATAAAAAAGCCAAGAGTTGCCGAAAGAGCTTGCGTCACTGCCTGCGGACGAGGACCGGAGCGACGAGTTTCGAGTTACCTACTGAGCAGTCAGTTCGCACCGGAGCGCGGCACGAGTCACGCGCCTCTCTCGCACCTGTGTCTGTGTCAGTGATCTGTGCTGTGTTGTGTGCATGTACCGACGACCGAGATGCTTATAACGTAAGTGCAATCGGCCGCAACTCGGAGCCTATTCCTCGTATTCAAGATTTTAATGGAAAAGTCGAGTATCCTCTAGCTAGTCGAGTACACGTAGATTCACGCAGCCGTAACGTTATTTTAAGTATGTTATTAGTCAAGAAATGTAATTGGACCGAATCAAGGTTTCGGACTGGATTCGAGTGCGCCCCGCCGTTGATTTCGACAGGATCGCCAATTGTTATTTAGTTCTTACGCTATTTTCTGATTAACCTTCAGTGCCTCATTCATCACAGACGACAGAGATAATAACGACACAGCGTGACTATTCTTATAGTAATATGCAACAATTCATAGAAAATATTGACGCCCTAAGTTAGCTATAGGCTAATGTGTTCATTATAAGGCTAAATACTATGAATATGAATACTCCAAAATATCGCACGTGATAAATTCACATAAACGCCATAAACGCACGACGCGCAACAAAACCGATCGTGTACAAGCAGCTTAATTTCCGCGAACTATTAACTCCGTTGAAAATTATGAAATATGATGCTATTAAATAAAACTGGTTACCTAACACCGTTCACTAGATATACAATTAGTGCTTGTCTGTCCGTATACTGGTCATGGTCAAGTGTGAGTCGCATTTTGACATGATCCGCTTCACGCATACTTAATTATGTGACACAATACATTTACATATAGGCCTAATCCTACCGATAGGGTCTGATTGGAATTGCCCAATCTTATAAAACGCGTCTAACGTTAGACGTCGGAGACATTGATAGTTTGAAACCAATCTTAACGAACTACAACCTATAATGTAACGCTTCGTAAAATACTGACGATCGTCGTCTGTGATAAGCTAAACGAGAGTCACATAAAGAACACTTAAAGAATAACCAGCTTAATAACAAATGCCCAAAGAAGGTGAGCGTATATGCAATATTGAGTTCCTTGTGAAGGAACGTCGCTAACGTTAAAGGTTAATGGTCGTCTAATTGTCGCGGAGTTTTCCTTATGAGTTTAGATGATTTTAAAAATGGAAACGTGTATTTAATACTATTCTTTTACTTGGACATTTTTCACTATAAAACCTTGTTTTTTAAATCACAATAAATAATTTCTATAAATTTAAGCAGACACATAACATCGTTTAGACAACGGCTCTATCTTTTTCTTTTTCTTTCCATTCCAACACTAAAACGGGACCCTATTAATAAGGACTGTCCATCTGTCGCTATCACATTTGTTCGTTCATCGTTTTTGTATTACTTTTTCGCCTTTATAATATTATATAAAGTTGATTAACAACTTTAATTCAAAGTAACACTTGAGGTATTTTTCGAATGAATCAGCACAGCATAAGACAGGATTTATATATATAATTATTCGCGCATAACACGATAGTTTATGGCAAAATTAACCGCGTCCTTAGTAAAATTTCCAAAGGCAAAGTTCAAACTGAATTATACGCACTTACAAAGAATAATAACTCTATATACGTTTTACACTGTTTCAATATTAATTAATGTAGGCCAGTTTGTTACCCTTATTAATCGAGGACTATTTTGTTACAAATACACTATAAATACGTTACTCAAATGCGATAATGACTTTAATTGTTATCTGTAATCATCCAAGCAATTAAATTAATAATTAAACGAACAATATAATATTGTTTGACGCTTTGTGCAGTGTAACGGTTAGGTGTAAAGAGTAGATGCTTATTGAGCTTGATTTTCTGGAACCTACTTGTTCGTTGTCTGCATTATTTCTCGTTTTAATTCCATTTTAAATGTTTATTCTTTATGCAGACGATAAGATAAGTACGTATTTAAATATATAATATAGATAAGTTCTTAACTATGTACTGCTTTCTCCTTAGTATTAGTGTCTAAGACTATTTTTTTTAAAAACTTCTTCGAAGCCTGAAGACGGTGGTAGCACTAAAAGAAGAGTCTATTGTATTTACCTTAGTACATTTATACAGCTAAAGTCCAATTCGAAGATAAACATGATTTTGAGCACCTTCGTGGCTGTAAATAAAAATCGATCAGTAAAAAGGATTCAAGAAAATGTTTGTTCCGCATATAAAAACCTGGAATCTAGAAATATCTACAGAAGCAAGGGTAGCCACTCTCGAGTAAACAATTTAATGACTAGTGATTTGATTGCAGTTTTGCAAACAACGACGGCCTTGCACACGAGCGCACGCGACTGACACGCAGTCGCACTAGACACAATACACACGCCTACCGGATTAAAAGTCTTATTCATACAGTTCTTATATTATATTAAACATATACTTAATTTATAATAATAACGGACAAGAATTATTCAAGCTATTGAAAAATTTACGAATAGAGAATTGAATGAGTCACGTCATGCTTTGGTTTTTAAAAACACTTTATAAATATAGAATCGTTGACCCCAATTAGCTAATTTAGCGGTTTAATTCATTTTGATTGTTTTACTTGAATTTGATGTAATTACTCCCTACATAATTTTCGTGAAAAACGTCGCGATTTAAATGTATGTGAGACCTTCTTACCAGGTATTTTATTGTTTCGAGTAATATTAATGTATATAAATATATATTTTTTTATTATTTCCATTAAATAAGGATGTTATATACATAAAAAAAAATATTTTTTATAAGAGATATCGCGCAAACACGTTTCTGTACCCGTACCAAATTTTTTTTTATTTACAAACATGTAAATCTGAAAGTTGTGCACTATTTAACTAACACTATTTTTTTGTATTTCTAGAATTTTGCGTTCAGCCTCCTAATAGTAGACGGTTATAAAGGTTAGGGATATTTCAGACACAAAAGCGTGTATTGGGACGACATGAGATTAACATGAACCGAGTTCCATCCGTCGATCGGCTGCGCCGGCGCAGATGGTCACGTTTTCACGTAACGAGTGAATGTTCATTACATAAGGCGTGTTCCGATTAGCTCTTAGTTTCAACACTCTTAATTTGTTTGATCTACGTAAAATCATATCTTTTCTTGGCAGTGGCACTAGCGAGACTGGTAAACAACTGAAGTAAAAATAAAAATAAATGGCGAATAATCTAGGCTTACTTTAATAACATTATTCACAAACTTTAAAAACAGACGCTAATTGTAATTGATTTTATTACAATTTTACAACTCAATTCATAATCAAAGTTGTTTTAAATATTGCTTGTCCCCGTGACCACATTTGCTGCAAGGCATATGAAAATCGGGTTGAAGTTAAAAATGAATAAGGACCCAATTGTTTTAGTTGAAAATTATATTTTGGGTTCTGTTTAACCTATACGATGTCATACGAGGTTTCTTTAATTACCTCGATGTTCTTGTCAAATTCGCGCTTTCTTTCATTTTATGGTTCTTTTTTCGCAAATCCATGATATGTAAGATGTGCCAATTGACGTCATCCCGTGTTGAGAAATATATTTGCTACAAATACTTTTTACTTTGTATGACGCAGAGACTGAATCATCCATTCAAAGTTCAATATTTCAGTAATTCTTTTATGTAATTGCAAGAAACGATTAAGATATCAAACGATACCTAATTCTCGTCTTAATTATCATTTGAGAGATAGGAGATGTCATATTTTGACGCTCGCATAGTGCAAAGTATTTTAAATGATTAAAAATCAAATTTTCGTAAACATAGCAAAATATTTAATCTTATAAAACCATATGAATATATTACTTGAACACTAAAAATTTATGAAATTCAAAAAGAGTGAGACATATACTTTGCGGGCGATGAACGAAAATGAATGCCTCACATAAAAGACATCAACGCGCGCGTTACTTCACCCAAAAGTAAAAACAAAACTATTTGTTTTATTTTCTTATAAAGTTTAAAGTGTTAAATATTTCGAACTACCTTTTTATCACGAATTACGGAAAGTTCAACTTTATTTATTTCAGTGCTTTATATTTTAAATACGACATGAACAAGTCCGAGACAACATTTCCTTGATACGTTTTTCATTGTACTCTGTCGTCTTTTACAAAGAAATAAACCAAAGTTCTAGTTGTTATATTTACCTTGTTACTGGTTTTGCGGTTCTCAAGACAGAACTTTGCTTCAGTGAAACAGTAAAAATTTGTAAAGCCATGGACGTAAAAAATAGCATACAATTTGAGTTTCTATACTTTTCTCGTGTGCAGGAAAGAGCAACAAATATTCTTCTCCTTTTATTTACTTAATAACGATATGTCTTTGTAAAGTTATTCTAATTCTAGCGCCTTGGATTCCGGGCTGTGTCCTGTGTAAGTATCTTCATAATCGTTTCAAATCAAAACTCCTACTTAAGTACTTCGCCATATTTTTACAGTCCAGTCATCTATTTTTATGTAATATTCGCGCATCATAGAAATATAAACTCTGTGTGAATGCATTACGGTTTCAAATTAGTCGCGTTACGCCATACGTAATTAATGTTGCAACGATACCATTTTGAACTTGCTCAATGGAACTGGTTTATTTGTCCGCGTATTTGGTCGGCACTGTTTGTAGGGAAACCCCGAGTGAAAGTCATTCTTACAACATTGCTCAAGTATTTGAGATCTTTTCATAAATTCTCAACTCTTTGTTTATGTGACCTTGTGTCTGGTGAGCTCCCTGGCCATTTTAAATTAAGAATCAGACTTTTCACGTACTCATACTTTTTAACGTAAGTCCGAATCATGAAAACAAAAATTAGAAATAGTTAGTTAGTATTATTTGTTTAAAAATCGAAAATAAATTGAAAAAATTTTCGACTCGGGCAGGACGTGAACCGGTAAATTTTTTCGAAAATTTATTCAATTTATTTTCGATTTTTAAATTAAATAGTGACTTCATATGCAATAACATGTGAAAAATAATATTGTTTTCAATAGTGAATTAATTATTGTATAATGCTTTGCGAAGGTAAAACGAAATTTCAAATTATCACATGCCTTTTCACTGAAGATAACTTCAAGGATGTAGGTTTGTTTACCTAAACACTTCCTTTGCGATA